AGGAGGAGCTTCAGGAAGAGATTGCAAAGGTGAGCGGGGCTGGGAGGTGAGCAGTGGAGTGGACGTTTGATGCTTTGCCCCTGTGATTCCAGTGTGGCCGTGCTCAGAGATCTACTCTAGGCTGTCTTGAGGATTAACCTCATCAGTTGTGTTAGTTTGCAGGGTCCTCCTCTATCTTGTAAACTGTGGGTGCAGTTTGTCCCTGGAGAGCCTCTTGATGGAGGAAGGGAGGAGTGGTTAGCCAGCTAGCAGAGGCACCAAGGAACAATGAGTTTCTTGATTCTGTGTTGAATGGGGAGTGGGGGGGAGAAGGTCCCAAGCTCTGTCTGGGAGATCTTCCCTTGTGCTGACCTAGCTCCAGGTTAGTGCTCCAATATGACAGGCTCAGAGGATTTCTGCTCTGAGTGAGAAGTCGGGAGGACTCATGGTGTGGTCGCCAGGGCAGCTTTCCAGGGAGCTGTCTGCTGAGTCCTGTAAGATTGAGAGGGACCCGGCTGTTCTTCAGGATTAACCATCACTTCTGGCTGGGTGAGGGGGAGTCCAGAGGATACAGCTAATAAAACTGGCTATTTCCTCAATCCTTGTTTAAACTAAGCCTCTGCTGTCTCCACCCCAGAGGTCCTCGGACATTTCACAAGGCTGAAGTGGCTGAGTGAGCCCTGCTTCCTCTCCCCTGACAGCAAGTATGTGTACAGAAGGCTTAAAAGGGTTTTATTAAATCCTGTCTAAAGCCTTGTGTGTCCCTGGGATTAGCAATGAACTCTCTCTGGAAAAGGCCGTCTCTCCCATCTGCTTTATTTAGACACACTTCTATTGGTGCTATCTGAATAGAGGGTCACGGTCAGATTGGAGGAAGAGAGACTGATGAATGCATAGCAAGTGGATAAAAGGTCTCAGAGCACTTTGGGCAGCAAGGCCTGGGAAGCGAGTGGTGCAGTGCTTAGCCATGTGAAGTTCCAGGGGGTTGGCATCAGCCCCAGGTGGAGAAGGCACTCATTCTCTCTGAGCCTATAAGCCAGCTTCCAGGCTGCAGTCTGGGGTGGGTATGGATACCTGCTCACCTCCCCCTGTAGCCCCTGGAGGAGGTGGCTGCTCTGTGAAGGCAGTGGATGAAAGGGAGAGATCTATCCATGCCCACAACCCCAGCATCACAAAGCTGTCTGATTCCAGGGCCTGGGTAGAGCCTGTGATGTCTTTTGCCCCCAGGTCATCAGGTCAGAAGCATCCTATGCTGACAGTGAGCATTGCTGGCTGGTGACTGTTCTGTGTCTTCAGCTTTCATTGAAACACTCAGTGAACAAGTTGCAAACTCCCCCATCCCAGCTAGTGTTGACTGGCCTCTTTGGCAGCCTAAGTAGAGGGTGCTCTTTGTCACGTACACTCCTACCTTGCAGCTGACCCACTCTCCTGCTTCCTTGAATGAGCTGTATCCAGAGAGGAGTTGAGGCCTTTTGAGTGGGCAGTGTAGGGTGAGCTGGCAGTGCCATAGCCCAGGCAGGACTTCATGAAGCGCCAGTCTGCAGCATCTTCCTGTCTGTAGCACCGGATTCACTCTGAATAGACATGGAGATCAAACAGCCATGGGCTGCCACCAAGGGGGCCCTTAGTAGCTGGGGATGCCCAGAGCCTCTGGGCTGTTCAGTTAAAAGCATTTGGCTATTCAAGGGCTTGCAAATGGCCAATGTGTTTATATATGGCCAGGTATCATGGTGCTGTGGGTGCGTCTGCCAGAGTGTCTGTTAGTACAAAGTCCGTGCGGTCACTGGGTCTGCCTGGCTCTGCTTGTTGACTGCTTGGCAGTGGGCTTGTACTAGAGCCAAAGGGACCTGTCCTTTCTGTGCAGAGAGGAGTCCAAGCTGTGGCCCATGCTGGATGTCGGGTGGTTGCTGCCCCTCGCTTCCTGCCCTCAGATGTCTCAGCCTAGGGCTAATGGCCTCCTCCTGCTGTTCCCTCTTGCAGGCCAACGTGGTGTGCGTGGTGTACGATGTCACCAAAGAAGCCACAATTGAGAAGGTAACAGCCCAACTCTGCACTCATTGCTCTCAGCCTGTGGTGCCACATGCAGCCTCACTGTGGACTGCTGCCTCTCCCCATATGGTCTGCCACTTGTGGAGCCCCAAAGACTGCCCCATCCTGCATGGGTGCTGCACAGGCCTCACGCTGCTGGCTGAGGTTCTGGAGCCCTTTAAGAGCA